GGATAATCTATACAACGCTGTCAGTCACCTTGACTGAATTGACATTTACACAACGTTATAACCAACAATGGCACATGGAAGAAGTATACATTAAATATTCACTGAAATGTGCTGGACCATAAAGTCTCAATAAATTTCAAAAGATTGAAACTTAGGGAATGTATATTTTTAAAAATGGTACATTTGAGATGATGGATATGTTAACTAACTCTACATGGTTTCCCAACATGTAAGTCTATCAAATCATCATGTTGTTCACCTTAAACTTACACAATGTCGTATGCTGATTATATTGCAATAAAGCTGGAGAAAAAAAGAATTTGTTCTCTGACCCCTATGTAATTAAGCTATAAGTAAATTTAAAAAAAAAAATCTGGAAAAATATTCCTGAAACTCAGAAATTAAACATGGTACTACTTCTAAATAACCCCATGGGTCAAAGAAGAAATCACAAGGGATGTTAGAAGATATTTCTAACCAAATGATAATGAAAATACAATATATCCACATTTGTGGATGCAGCCAAAGTGATGCTTCCAAGGAAATTTTTTATAGCATAAATACTTTATCTTTAAAAGAATTTTTAAAAACCAATAATTAAATTTCCAACATAGGAAACTAGATAAAGAAGAGCAAATTTTACCCAAAAAAGTAAAAGAAAATAAAGGTAAGAGCAGAAATCAATAAAATAGACAATTAGAAAAAGATTAGCAAAGCCAAAATAGATTATCTAAAAAGATTATTAAAAGTTATAAACGTCTAGGAAGATTGACCCAGAAAGAATAGAGAAAATATAAATTACCAGTACCAGCAATGAAAGAAACAGTATCACTACAGTTTCTAAAAGATTAGTAAGTCACTATCAAGGACATATTTAGGATATCAATTCATTATATTGTATACCTGAAACTAATATGTTATATGTCAACTATGCCTCAATTTTAAAATATTTTTAATTAAAAAAGAACAAATTTAGGCTAATAAGTTTGACAATTTAAATGGACAGATTGCTTTAAAAAACTCAACCTATAAAAATGACAAGAGATGAAATAGAAAATTGGAATAGTCATGTATCTGTTGCATAAATTCTATCAAATATTTAGAAGAAAAAATAATATAGATCTTTCAAAAATAGAGCAGGAAATATTTCTCGAATTGTTTTTTATAAGAACAACATGCCTGATATCAAAACCTGACAAAAGACATTACAAGGAAAGGAAAGAAAAGGATAAAAACAGAAATTAAAGACCAATATCTTTTATGAACATAGACACAAAAATCCTTATAAATAGAATCTGGCAAATAGAATTAATCCTGGGAATGCAAGGTTGGCATATTTACCACATTATCATAGGAATACAAGGTTCAGTGTAGTTCACCACATTGCCAGAACAAGGGAGAAAAATCATGATCATCCCAATAAATGAAAAAAAAGCATTTGACAAAATTCAGCGTTCATTCATGATAACAATTCTTAGGAAACAAAGAAGAGAAAGGAACTTCCTCAATCTGATAAAGGCATCCACTAAACAGGTTCAGCTTAGTGGTGAAATAATAAATGCTTTCCCCCTGAGATTAGATGGAGAGCAAGAATTTTTGCTTTCACTGTTCATATTCAGCATTGTTCTGGAGGTGTTAGCCCATGCAATAAAGCCCCCCCCCAAAAAAAAAGACATAAAAGGATAAAAATTAGAGTAAAATTGTCTGTTTATAGATTGTATTAATATTTCATAGGGGGACGCTTGGGTGGCTCAATGGTTTGGCGCCTGCCTTTGGCCCAGGGTGTGATCCTGCTGGGATCGAGTCCCCACATTGGGCTCCCTGCATGGAGCCTGCTTCTGCCTCTCTCTCTCTCTGTGTCTCTCATGAATAAATAAATAAAATCTTTAAAAAAATATATTTTATAGGAATATACAAAAAACTAAGGAATCTATTTTTTTAATATTTTTATTTATTTATTCATGAGAGACACAGAGAGAGAGAGAAAGAGAGAAGCCAAGACACAGGCAGAGTAAGAAGCAGGGAGCCCGATGTGAGACTCGATCCCGGGACTCCAGTATCATGCCCTGGGCCAAAGGCAGGTGCTAAACTGCTGAGCCACCCAGGTGTCCCAGAATCTATTTTTTTTTTAAAGCCTACTAGAGCTTTAAGTTTAGCAAGGTCAATATGCAAAAATCAATTTTATTACTATATAATAGCAGGAAACAGTTTGAAATTGAAGTTTAAAAAATTCCATTTCTAATAGTAATCAAAACATAAAGGAATTAAGAATAAATTTAAACAAGCTATGCAAGACTTTTTACACTGAAAACCATAAAATGTTGCTGAGAAAAATTAACTAAGTAGATGAAAAGATATACTACATTCATGATTGGAAAACTCAATATTGTTAAGGTGGCAATTTCTCCCTAAAATAACCTATTGATTCAGTACAGTGTTGATCAAAATCTCAATCAACTTTTACATAAAACACTTGATTCTGAAATGTATATGGAAATGCAAAGTCCTAGTCTAATCAGCATAATTTGAAAAACAGAAAGTTTGAGCATTTATGTCACTTGATTTCAAGACTTAAAATAACAGTAATCAAAATAGTGTGGTATCTTTGTAAAGATAGACATATATACCAATGGAACAGAATAGAAAACCCAGAAATAGACCCACATATACAAGCTCCATTAATTTTCAACAGAAGTCTAAAGGATACAGAAACAGGTCAATGGAATAAAATGAAGGGGACAGATCGACCCATATGTAGTCCATTAATTTTAGGCAAAGACACCAAGGTAGTTCAATTAGAAGAGGAAAGTCTTTTAATAAATGGTGCTGAAACACCTGAATAAACATACTCATAAAAACAAACCTCTACCCCTATCTCTCATCAAACGCAAAAGTTAATGCAAGATGGAGCATAGATCTCCACTCAGAGCTAAAATTACTAAGCTTCAAGAAGAAAACATCAGAAAATACCTTTGTGATAATGAGATAGGCAAAGATTTCTAAGAGATAAAAATCACTAAACGGGGCAGCTGGGTGGCTCCATTGATTGAGCCTCTGCCTTCAGCTCAGGTCACCATCTCAAGGTCCCAGGATCCAGCCCTGCATCAGGCTCCCTGGTCAGTGGCCAGTCTGCTTCTCCCTCTGCCTGTCTCCTTCTCATGCTCTCTCCCTCCCTCTCTCAAATAAATAAAATCTTCTTAAAAATCACTGAACATAAAAGAAACAAGTAATAAAACTGGATTTCACCAAAAATAAAACTTCTGCTTATTGAAAGACACAAGTAAGAAAATGGAAAGGCAAACTACAGACTGGGAGAAAATATTCACAATACATATATATCTCATAAATGAATCCTATAAAAATATATAGTAAAGTACAGTTGACCCTTGAACAACATGGGTTTTAACTGCAAGGAATTTTTTTTAAGTAAATATATAGAGAGAGGTATAAATGTATTTTCTCTTCCTTTAGATTTTAACATTTTCTTTAGCTTACTTTATTGTAAGAACACAGTATATAATACATATAACATATGAAATATATATCGTGTTGTCAGTGAAGTTTCTGATATATACGTGTTTCATATATATAAGATTATACGAAAAAAGTGCTTAGCAACATTTGTTATCAGGGAAATACAAATTAATATTGTAGGACACCATTTTATATCCACTAGAATGGGTAAAATTAAAAAGACTGACAATAGCAAGTGTTGACAAGGGTATGGAACAACTAGAACTCTCTTGCATTGCTGGTAGGAATGTAAAATACTACAACCACTTTGGAAATCTGGCAGCTTCTTATAAAGTTAAACATACCTCTGCCCTATGACCCAGCAGTTCTAATAATTACCCAAGAGAAATGAAATTTGTCCCCAAAACACTTGTACAAGAATGTTTGTAACAACTTATTCATAATACTAAAAAGCTGGAAGCAATCCAAATATCCAACAAAATATCAAACAGAAGAATGAATAACCAAATTGTGGCATAGTCTATGGTTATAGAAATCAGAGCAGTAGTTGCCAAGGGCGGTAAGAATTGTCTGGAAGGAAAGTTTCTGGAGCAATGGAAATGCTATATATCTTGATTGGAGTATTGGTTGCCCTAGCCTATTGGTTACATAGGTATATACATTTATCAAAACTCACTGAATTGTATATTTAAGATAAATTTCAGTGTAGTTAAATTTTTCCTTCAAAAAAGAAGGAGCTTATATAGTTAAAATAGAAATGGTTATTTCAGTGGGCAGTACTATATATATTATATATATAAGATTTATGACATAAATTTGAATGCATGTTTGTTTTTTTCAACACACATCTTTTGCGCATCTAGGTCAGCCATTGTGATAGTTTGCTGGGGTATAAAGATAATAGAAAGTGGTTGGACTCAGAACTCAGCATCTAGCAGGAGCCATAAAAGCACAAGAGATAAGTACCAATGTAAAAATGGATGCTGAGTGCAAAGGCGGTCTGAGGAAGTGATTCTTATTTGTTGAGGTTGAGAGATGGGACCAAAGAGCAAATAAACTTGTAAGGGAGGAAAGGCTTTTGGGTCAAGAGAACCTCATGATCTAAGTAAGGCACAGAAACATAAGCCTATATGACGTGTTTGCAGAATCTTAATTGGCCCAATGTGACTACAATAACAGGAGAGGATACCATGACGGGAGACCATGCACTTTAATAATGCAACGAGATCATATAGGGTCATAAAATGCCATACTACACAGTCAGATTTATAGGCTTAAATAAGAGGCCACTGAAGGCTTTTAGACAAGAGTGACATCAATTCTGTTTCTGTGTTTTTTAAAAATGTATCTGCTAGTAGTAAAGAAGAATTATTAAAGTTGGGGAGATATTAGAGGCAGAAGGAAGAGATAGAAAGGGATTTCAAGAATCCAGGGTCATTTATTTAAAATACTTATTCACTAGAATTTTGTGATTAAACATTTTCATTTGGCTCTTCTTTTTTCTTTTTCTTTAAAATTAACAATAGGAATCCAGAAACATTTTGGACCACAACAGGAATGTTTCCCCAAGAGTTCATTATTTGTTTTCACAAACATGTAAGGATTGAAAGGCTTATAATTCAAAGTTACTTTGGTAAGCAAATCATACATTAATATTCATCATCTTTTATTTTTCCCATAGGCAGAGGGCACATATGTAAACTTTGGCAAAACTCTAACTTTCCTTTGCAGCATGGAATCCAGTTTTATGGCTGGAATGGGAGAGTGGGGAGTACGGGTTAACTGCCTTGAGCACAGTTAGCTTCTCTAAAATTGCAAATTTGAAACCCTTCCAAAGCGCATAATAATTTCCATGCAATTTACTATGTGAAAATCTTTGGCAAAGATCCCTATTATGAACATAAGAAGCCAGCTTGCCAGAACACTAGGTTCTTCAACATCTTTATTCCAGATTCATTTGGCTTGGGGTTCTCTGTCAAATTCTTCTCGAAAATCTGATAACCTTGGTTATTTGCATTGGATAATTTTGATTCTTCTATTAATAATGGCATTTTCTGAGGGATTTAGGAGGACACTCTCCCATTGGAACATCATTCTAATCCTGTCTTGTGTTTATTTAGGGATAAAGTATTTCAGACAAAATCATGGCAGGAAAGAATACATCCCAGATGGTTCAAATGAGAAGACTTTATTGATAGGATTACTTACAAAATTATGGTCTGGGTAAGGGAACAAACCAGGGATGGTGAGAACGCCTTGAAACTAGCCACAGCAATAAGCCATTACCACTCTTGGGATAAGGGATGGAAATTGTGTTACTGGAGCCCAGTGAGAGCTGTAGTCTGTGGCTAAGGACCTGCCCAGCAGCAGCTGTAATCATGAAGGGACCCAACCACTGTCAAAGACGTGGCACAGAAGCAGGAAGGGAGTGGAGAAAAAACAACGTGCTCTCACTTCACCACTGCCCTCCAGTTTCCTCCCAGTGCCTCCCATTAGCCAAATCTGACCAGTATCTAGTGATGCAATCCACACGGGACCTCCCTCACAGGGCACAGAGAAGAGAAGAATGATTCTGGGGTAGCAGGGTCTGGATTAGGGGTAATAGAGGAAAAAACAGTTCTGAAGGAAGATGCCTGCATTCTGGTTAAGTCTATTAACTGTCATTAATTGTAGAAGCTCATAGACACAGACATACCTAAAGTTTGAATTGCACTTCTGGCCCTTACTGGCTCTTTATCTCTGAACACTTTGCCTGACTTCTCTAAGGTGCCTGATTTCTCTAAGCCTGTTTCCTAATCAGTAAAGTGGATTAGTAATACTTTTTCTTATAAGATTATAGTCAAGAGTAAATGAGTAAATGCTTGACTTAACAGTAGTTTCTTCATAAAGGTTTATGAACAAGATCACTAACAGTATTATTATTATCAGTATACAAATAACTAGATGATACCAAATTTAAAAAGACTCTACTAACTGTATTGTGTGCTTTGCAAACATTGTAAGATTACAGTGACCCAGGGCTGCGTTTTACCATAGGTCCCTATAGAAAAACAGAGCATGTGAATGATTTTCAGAACATGGTATTTCTGATCCCAGTACTTTGTTCAGTCCCACCAGTGCTTGACACTTTGATACAGAGAAAAAAAGGAATATAGGGATAGCAACATTAGATCAGATAGATAATTTACCCTGTATTTATTTTGTTTCCTTACAACATAAGTAAGGACCTTGAAGATTGAAAAGAGCACATCTAAAGAGCCAGTTGATTTTGAGCCATGGATTGAAAGAGGTATGTGCTTTTTTTTTTTTAAGATTTTATTTATTTATTCATGAGAAACAGAGAGAGAAGCAGACACAGGCAGAGGGAGAAGCAGGCTCCATGCAGGGAGCCCGATGTGGGACTCAATCCTGGGTCTCTAGGATCACGTCCTGGGCTGAAAGGCAGCGCTAAACACTGAGTCACTCAGGCTGCCCTGTGCTTTTTCACCAGCATTGTTCTGGGCATGAGGAAGTAGAGCTGTCCTTTGATTCTGTATTTCCAACTGAGCTGCATTTTGGTGAAGAAAAGATGTCTCTTGTTGACTTATTTAGAGCCTAGAAAAACCCAGGTTTGAATACAAGACTACTTCTTCACTTACTGGTTATATAACTGTTAGCACGTTAATACTTAATTTTTCTGAGTTTACGAATCCTCTGAAAAATGGGGATGGTAACCCATGGTTTAGGGTCTTGTAAATATAGTGTCTACCATATCATATATAGTAGACAATAAATATTAGTTTCTTTGTCTTTCCTTCTTAACTAACTAATGGTACTATTTAAATATCATCAGCAGAGAGGCACCTGGGTGGCTCAGTGGTTGAGTGTCTGCCTTTGGCTCAGGTTGTAATCCTGGGGTTCTGGGATCGAGTCCTGCATCAGGGTCCCCACTGGGAGCTTGCTTTTCCCTCTGCCTATGTCTCTGCCCCTCTCTGTGTCTCCCATGAATAAATAAGTAAAATCTTTAAAATACATACATACATACATACATACATATCATCAGCAGAATTGCCCTTAAACACTACAAATTGGCTTTGTGTGTCTATTTCCTTTCCTTCCCAAAATTCCATGAAAATAATAGTAAAGGAATAAAAGGAGGCATAAACCTACAAGGACAAAACTAAAACAAACCAAAAAACCTATAGGAGACCAAAGAGGATGTGAGGTATCCATCTAAATTATGGAAGAGAGGACACAGGTAGAAGAGACTAATGTAGCTGAATGGAGTAGGTTATAACCTAAGTGCCCTCCAAGGAGAACGTCAATGTGAAGCAAGACAGTTTGCCCAACAAAACCCCAGAAAGGCAGGATTTTTGAAGGCAGGAGGTACCACAGAAAGTATGAGTGGGACATGGACCAGAAAACAAGAGGGAATAGTTGAACATCTGTATACAGAGTGACCCTAGGTAAGTTCTCTTATCACACAAAGCTAGAAGACTCCTCCTTCCTCCCACAAACCGTCTGCAAGGACTAAGGAGGAATACCGAATGTTAAGTCTCAGAACTCAGGGAGACCAGACATAGAAGAGAGAGTAAGTGAGACATAGAGTACAGGAGATTTAAGTGGAAGCCTGCATATTGAATGGTGAGAACACCTCTGTGCTCTACTATTTATGACAGCAACCGAGAATATAGCCCTGGCCAGGAGACTAAATATTTTTGGGGAAACTGAGTGGCTCCAGAAAAAAAGATCTATGGATACTGACATAGACCACCTCATTCCTGGCTGCTCTGTTGAAGTCCGAGTCAGTGAGCATGGTTCATGGCACATAGTTTTCAAATGATTTATTTATTAAGTAACAAAAGATAGTCAGAAGATCACCAGACATTTGATGAAGGCCTCAAACCCTGAATATAATCAAGCCTTTAGCTCTAACTCAAGTATATACGAAACAGAGAGTAGATGAATAAATGTAATGAAACCTTAAAGAGGCAAAATGACAAAATGTGGGATATTCTACAGGAATACTGACCTGGTCTCTTTAGTAAGTCAGTGATGTGGGGAAAAAATGTGTGTGGGAGAGAGAAATCAGTTCAAGATTAAAAGAGACTTAATTCTGATTTGAATAAACCAACTTTTATAAAAAGACATTTTGGGGACAATTGAGAAATTTGAATGTGGATGGGGTTCTATATGATATTAAAGCAATTTTTAATTTTAGCCTGATAATAGTATTATGGTTATGTAAGAAAATATCCTTATTATTTAGAGATGGATAACCAGATATTTGGAGGTAAAATGTCATGTTCTTTAAAATGCTTTAGCAAAAATATTCCATAAATCAAGTATAGTGAAATGTTAGTAATTTTAAAATCAAGATGATGGGTAAATATACAGGAATTATACCCTGTCTTCTTTGATGTCAGCATGAGATTTTCCAATTTTTCATAAAGAACTAAGCAAATGAAAGAAGGTATTATTAACTCCTGGTAGAGGAGGAGTTATATAAGAAAGAAAATGGGATCATAATTCAATACTTATTTTAGCAGTAAATAACATTTACGTAGGCGATAATGTAACTGTCAAGTGTTGATTTCAAAATTGAGAGGATGGCAGGAGGGAAAGGTTGAAGGAAGAGGAAGAAGATACTGATCTCAGAGACCCAAATTTTCTCCCACCATACTATAAAGTCAGTAAAATACTACAAATCAAGAAAAGGAATATAAACATGTTAACCTTCTAGGAAAAAAAGCTGAAGGAGATGAAAGCATTTGCCACTCAGGAGTAGGACTGGAGGGGAAAGGGTCAAGCAGGGGATCACTATTCATTACCTCAGAGAGATCTTAGGAAAAAAAGGTACCAACTACCCTGTTGGTAGTATGTTCCTTTAAAAATCACATACACCGACTATGCTGATACAAATAAAATTAATTTCTGAATAAGGTCAGTATTTATTATTATATCAACCAAATATTTCATATTTCTAGAAGAATGATATAATTAACTTGTGAGCAATTAAGTTAATCTGCTTTAAAATTATATAGGTAAAGGTTTTCTAAAGTTGGATACCAGAAAAGATCACTTCATGGGCAGCATAATTCAACATCACATTATAAATTCAGCATGAGAAACTGAGTTGCAGTCATTACCCATGAGAGTGGTAATAAGATGGCTCCTATCAGGCCTGTAATATAACTGTTAGTGGCTTGATCCTTTCTGTAATTTACATTTCCTTTTGTTTATACTTGCTAGGGATGTTTTAGAACTCACAGTTTATCTTTCATGCCTTTTACATCAAATATTCTCATTTTGATATTGAATTTTAACCCCCAAGCTCTGGTAAGTCTGATCTAACTATAGTTTACCAGACATCATGTTTTGGTGAATATAAACCAAATAGACCGGTAGCTGGTAGCTGTCCTCATGCATTTTGATCCCTAACTCATTTCTGTTACATTTGTGCTTTAGATCTAGTCCACACAGAGGGGCAGCTTCAAAATGAAGAAATTATGGTAAGTCGATATACTTTATAGAGATAAATATTATCTTTAGCCAGCATAATCTATTTACATTTTAATTATATCTTCTCAGTCATGAAATTAATAAATACCTTTGTGATATGTTAGAGGTTCTATACCTAATCAACCAATAGAGAAGGTTATTCTCAATAATACTATAATCTAAATCTCAATAATACTATAAATACATTCATAAACTAGGCTTTTATCTATCATAGAATAACAGCAAGAATAAGACAATTCACATATTTGTTTTTATTTTGTTCATTTATTTTGAAGTATTTATTTGCTTTGCTTTCTTTCATTTGATTCTGTAGGCCTTTTAAAATAGGAATCAAAAAAGGTTGAGATGCCAAAATCCGATGTTAATTTAAGCATGAAAGGACAAGGGAGATTCACATAAGGGGAAATGGAGCATAGGATCAGCAACAAATAAGCCAAAGAGAGATGAGGTGGAAAGAGAACCAGCATTTTTCGACAACATTCCATTGGGCTTTGCTTGTCAAGTGGAATGAATGCCTGTTGATGAGGAAGCTGCTGCCTCATCAGGAGTTTCTCTGTTCCTGGTAGTTTATCAGGCCCTGGTTTTAGACAAACAAAAAGGTGAAACAACTGAATATGTGGGGTTTTTTGTGATTTTTTCTTTCTTTCTTTCTTTCTTTCTTTCTTTTTTTTTTTTTTGGTGGTAGTGTTTAATTAAGTTTTCTCTAAATGAGGCTTAACGAGGAACCTTGTCCATTAAGTTTCCTTCTTCACAACTTGCTGGGCGCTGCTATGAAATCTGTGCTTCAAAAGATTCTGTAGGAAGTTTTTGAATGCTATTAATTATCTTCTCCACCAAATGTGCCCAATGACTGGAGAGGCCAATGGGGGCCAGAAAAGTAATTAATTAGACTGAATTTTATCTGCCTGTTTTTCTCCATCTTTACTAATGGGTTATGATTAGTAAGCCTCTGTTAAGTGTTTTGTATCAGGGCTCATTGTGAATCAAGGAGCATTGCAACATTTCAGAATATTTAGAAAATAGTAAGGGGGAGTAGGCAGCTGGAAGTCACCCATGATTTTATTTCCCTGCCACAAGAGCTTTTGTTATACTTATTTTCTTCTAGTGTCAATGTGCATCACATAGTTAAAGTAGTAAAAAATGAAGAATTTTAAGCAATATTGTGTTACAAGTTTTATAATTTTAAAATGAAACGTATGAAAAGAGGCAAATGTTGACTATTTTTCCTCCCTCTGTCATTGTAAGTAATACAACAGGAACATCTTATGCATGTTCTCACTACCATGATTTTCACCTTTTAAATTATTCTCTAAGATTAAATTTCAAGGAATAAAATTACTGGGTTCATCAGTGTAAACATATTTATAGCTGTATATATATATATATATATATATACACATATATATGTATATATATCGTCCAATTGCCTTCCAGAGAAACATATCAATGTGGAAGTATAGTAATGTTTCAGGATAATAGAGTCAGAGGAATCATCAAACAAAGGAAATCTCCTAACATTGAAAAATACTTTAGAAAGACACTTTTAAAAAACTAATCAAAAATGTAAAACTGCAATTTTTAGCTCTGCTTGCTATTTTTCATCAAACCAATGCTGATATTTGCCTGGTAATACATCCGAGCAGCGGTACTGTTACATGCATCTGGCTTCTTTTCTGAATATTATATCTTACACATTATTATATTCTTAGGATATCATTCTTGCACCAAATCCTTTCTTCTGCTAACTGCTGTTTAACAGTTAACTAGAATTGCTAAAAGCTTCCATATTGATTTTTCCTTTACAGGCACGAGACGGCCATGCCACTTACTTGAGATTCATTATTATATCAGCCTTTGATCACTTTGCATCTGTGCATAGTGTTTCTGCAGAGGGAATAACAGTCTCAAGTCTTTCTTAGTAATTAGAACAGAATACTCTTGCATGATTTTTTTAACCATATATTTATTTAAACATGAAGTTGTCAATTGATATACTTTATTAAAGAGATTTGTATCAATCTGCTTCAGTTTTTATTTTCTCTTCAAGATTTTGTGCAAAGGAATTTGGTTCATTAGTCAGGAGTGATTGGCCACCATGTAGGCTACAAGGAAGCTCTCACTTCAATATAAACTATAATAAAGGAAATGCCTATACATGAAAACTTGACTGAATACATTGTGTCCGCACGGCATCTAACATGGTGCCCTTTAGGTCTCAGTGCATTAATATTTTTTAGGTTCAGTGCATTAATTTTTTAATTTATTGATTGGTTGATGAAAAGGACTAAGTGAGCAACATATACAGTAAATGTATGAGTTCAGAAAAGAGAAAATACTTATGGGAAGGTTTCATGGAGGCTATAGAACTTGAGCTGGGCCTTGTACGAATAATTTTATTTTTTTTCTTTTAATTTTATTTTTGCCCTGATTTGAAAATCTCAAGAGAATTAAGAAAAACATAATCTGATTTCCCCGGGACAACCATTGTAGATAGTAGTTGATTTTTTTTTTTTTTTTTTTGTATGCGTTGGGAGGGTAAGAAACAGCATAGGGGGCAGCCCTGGTGGTGCAGGAGTTTAGTGCTACCTGCAGCCCGGGATGTGATCCTGGAGACCCGGGATCGAGTCCCACGTCGGGCTCCCTGCATCCAGCCTGCTTCTCCTTCTGCCTGCTTCTCCCTCTGCCTGCTTCTCTGCCTGTGTCTCTATGAATAAATAAATAAAATCTTTTTAAAAAAAAAGAAAGAAAGAAACAGCATAGGACAGATTGGAGGGAAATAAAACTTATCTGAATATACCTTGTTATTTAGCTTAGCTCGACTTTGAAAACATAAATAACTAATATAGCCAAAAATTAAAACAAAAAAGAAATTCCAGAATACTGAAAACAAAAATGCACAAACCAAATGCTATCTCAAGTTGATAAATACACAGGAAACAATGGCATTGGAGCATAGTATTTTGTTTCTGTGGTTCATATTAGCTTCTTAGGGCCACCATAATAATGTACTCCAAACTTGGTGGCTTAAAACAATGGTCATTTATCGTCTCACAGCTTTAGAGGCTAGATGTCAGAAATCAAGGTACTGACAGGGTTTGTTCCTACTAGAGTTTCTGAGGAAGAATCTGTTTTATGCCTTTCTCTTAGCTTCTGGAGTTGTGGGCAGTGCTTGGCAGTCCTTGGCTTGTGGCACCGTGTAGCTCCAATGTCTGCCTGTGTCATCATACGGCATTCTCTCTGTATGTCTTCACCTCATCTTCCCTCTGTACATATCTGTGTCTGTGTCTCTTCCTCTCTTCTCTAAGGACACCAGTCATATTGGATCAGGGCCTACTCTACTCCCGTATGGCCTTATCTTAGCTAATTATGTCTGTAACAATCCTATGTTCAGGTAAAGTCACATTCATAAGTACCAAGGATTAAGACTTCAGTGTGTCTTTTTCAGACACATAGTTCAACCTGTAACATAATCTTAGTTTGTGATAGTTGATTTTATGTGTAACGTTGGCTGGGCCACGATGCCCAGATGTTTGCTCACACATCCTGGATGTTTATGTATGGGGTATTTTTTGGATGAGATTAACATTTAAATTGGTGGACTTTGAGTAACGCAGATTGCCCCCTATCTCATCTTTGAAGACCTTAATAGGACAAAGGTTGACCTTTCCTGGACAAGAAGGAGTTCTGCCAATAGACAGCCCTCAGACTTTACAACAACAGCTCTTTCTCTGGATGCCCAGTCAGCCAACCCTACAGATTTTGGACTTGCCAAACTCCATAATCATATGAGCCAATTTCTTCAAATTAATCTCTCTCACTCTCTGTCTCTCTCTGATTGTCTTCATATATACACATACATGATGGGAAGAGAAGGAGGCAGTGGCTATTATTATCATCTACTACAATTACACACTATATGCTCCTGATGTGATGCGATATGAAGCACACAGGCCAACCTTGGAAATCTTCCACCAGAATTCCTGAGCCTGAATTGAATCAAGTTCTAGAGTAAACTTCCATTTTTCAGGAAATACAAGGGATGGAAAAAACAAGGAAAATGCCACCACAGGGAAGCAAATAGACTAGTAGCCATTTTATAGCTCACAGAAATGCCCACATCTATGCCTTTCGCACACGTGGCGGAATATATTTTCTGACCTTCCTTGTTTGGGTAGGGCCAGGTGACCAGTTGTGGGCAATGAGATGAGAAGTGATAACTAGGCCTGCATGAGACCCCTCAAAGCTGTTTTCTTTCTCTGTCATGATGACCAGCAATGATGTTCTGCGCGCTAACTACTTCACCAGTCTGGCTCTGGAAGTCACCCTGATGATAGCAGGGAACAGACCCTCTCAGTCAATGGGAGACCGAAAGACATACAGGAGGAAAAATAGGGTTTCTTTGTTTTAACCAAATGAAATTTGGAGTATAAACTGGCCTATCCGGACTGATTCACAGATGAAACTAGAATGTGGCTAATCCTAAAGAACAAATGACCTGGTTTCTTCCAACAGGTTGGTGGCATGAAAAATGGTAATTAAGGAAGGAGTCCACTCTAGATTCAAAAAGACACAAGAACCCCAGTAGCCACATGCCATGAGTGGATCTTATTTGGATGTTTTTTAGTAAAACAACTGAAAATAAGACATTTGGAAATACACTTATGGATTGGGTGTTATTGTTCATTTTGCTAGCTGTGTTACGAGCATTAAGGTTAGATAAGAAAATGCTCATATTTTTCAGAGATGCATATAGAAATATATAGGGGCAAAATGCCCTGATATCTGGGATTTGCTTTAAAATACTTCAGACTTTTGGGATCCCTGGGTGGCGCAGCGGTTTAGCGCCTGCCTTTGGCCCAGGGCGCGATCCTGGAGACCTGGGATCGAATCCCACGTCGGGCTCCCAGGGCATGGAGCCTGCTTCTCCCGCTGCCTGTGTCTCTGCCTCTCTCTCTCTCTTTCTCTCTCTCTCTCTCTCTCTCTGTGACTATCATAAATAAATAAAAATTTTAAAAAAAATACTTCAGATTTTTTAAGGGAAAAAAGTGTTAGTTGAAACAAATATGGCAATAAATTATTATATCTGGGTGGTGGATACATGGAATTCCACTATACCCACCTCTTTGTCTTTGTGTGTGCTTGACATTCTTTATAATAGAAAAATAAAAATCAATAATGCTACTGAGGGTATCTTCGTGCATAAATCTTTGCCTGCCCCTCAGATGATTCCCTTAGAGGAGATTCTCAGAAGGGAATTGGTCAAAGTTAGGAACAGTTTTAAGGTTCTTAATACTTTCTGATAAGCCATTTATCAAGATTTGTTGAACAAATTTACTCTTAGAAAGGTAGGTTTTAGATAAATGGAGGAGAGTAAGAAAGGCATTTCAAGAGCAATGTTGGTGTGATTGAAGATGTGAAGAAGAGTACTCTGTCGTCAAACACCTTTGGAAAGTGATGAATATTTAAGTCTGACTAGGGCAAAGAATAACACTAAACCCATACATTACAGCCAGATAACAGAGAGCTTTTAATGCTTTCAAACATTTTCCCTCAACACTGGAGCCATTTAAGGTTTTCGAGAAGGAAGGTGACTTAGAGCAATTGTGTTCATGTTCAATAAAATGAAACGCTAAGGATTTTCTTTTGGCCAACTTCCTAAACTGAAATGTCAGTGATTCTTTGTGTAAGAAACAGTGTTGAGGCTCACAGATTGCTGGAAGGGATCTCCGGGGGTTGTCTGATTGATCTCTTTGGCACAGGCCTAGTAAATTATCTCTTAAGTCTTTTTTTCTCTGTGTCTGTCTCCTGTGGATGCCGAGAACAAGTCGTCAATGTAGAGCTTGTAATACCACTTTATGACACTTAAAAACAGCATTCTTTCACCTTCGTTTTCCTGGCCTTTAAAAATTAATTTCACCTTATAAAAAACCTCTCCAAGTTTCAAGCAATAGGTATAATAATATGCGGCTTTATCTTTTTTTCTTTTTTCTTCACTGCTGAAGCCCAACATCTTTGTAAAGTCTCGTTTGTTCCCAGCTGGCTTCTTCTAGCTCCTTCATCCCTCATTTGGATTTCTCTCCACCTACCTACTGACTCCTGACCCATTATGCTGCGTGTCCTGTGTAGTCGAGACCTTTGAATTTGCCTCCTCTGCCTGGAGGGCTCTTTCCTTAGGTATCTGTATGGCTGTCCTCACCGACTTCAGATGCTTCCACAAAATCCCCTCAGGGAAGTAGTCTGTCTCATCAGCGTGGCCACCCCCCACCCACACACACCACTGCTGCATAAACACATTTGGTCTTCCTTCCACTTGTTTTTCATCTTGGCTCTGGGAGTAGCCACCCTGTGTCCTGTGCTTCAGGGGTTCTGGTACCTTCCTCCTCTTTTCTCACAACCACTAAAATTCAACTGAGATTTTTTTTCCCCTTTAATCATATCCCAAGTGTGCTGTGAAAGATGAGGGCAGTGTGGCCTCCTTTCCAGGGTGAATATCTTGGGTAGGGGCTAAATTGATTGAATTGCCCTTGGCTCTCACAACCTTTTAGGGATGGCCCTGCTTATTACTAACACGTATTTCCTTCTTATCATGTATATCATGTTTATTGTCTCTTTCCCTCACTAGAATTTAAATTCCATGAGGGCAGGAAACATTTATTGCTTTTGCTTATGACTGTATCCTCAGGCCTTAGAACAGCCTATAGTAGATTATCAATTAAAATGTGACTAAATAAATGTTTATTTATTTGCATGTCTCATGCCATCCTTGAGTTTTTAATAAAGCTAGCTAATAAAATATGCATTTTGGATTATGTACTATGGGCCAGTGCCTACCACAGTGCCTTGTATCAAATTTTTACTTTTTAATTTTATCATTTTTTTTAAAGATTTTATTTATTTGAGAGACACTTGGGTGACTCAGCGGTTAAGCGTCTGCCTTCGGCCCAGGGCATGATCCTGGGCAGGCACCTGCATGGAGCCTACTTCTCCCTCTGCCTATGTCTCTGCCTCTCTGTGTGTG